TTGCTTTTCGATAGCTGTCATTGTCAGATGGAGACTTCGGATTTACCTTGGTCAACTCGTCCATGACTTTGAAGTATTCGGCTGTCCTCGTCACAGCTAACCATGATGTGGCACTCGGATCTGTGTTGAATGATGGTGTTCCTCGATAGATTTGCTTCATGCTTCGGATCTTCGCCTCAGTTTCGGCTGCAGTGGCTTGATCATCAAAAGGTTCGGGAAAATGTCCTTTGGTCAATACGATCCAGAGCTCATCAAGTCTGTCATAGATCTCCTTGTCCATGAAGCGCCCCACAGTTGCATCATCGAATGGGCATCTGCTTGCAAAGACTTTCACGAATCTCGATCCCTTTGATAAAAACTCCCATCCTGAACACTTCTTCTCGATGTCCTGCGCTCTCTGCAACAACTTGTAGGCTACTTCCAGAGCTTGTGCAGTGGCTTCACTGGTGTGTCTGGAGTTTGCAAAGTATGCTGAGTAGACAACTGCAGGTGGCATACCAAACCTAATCCATTGGTTGGCTGTGTCTTCATCTGAGATCAGTCGAAAATTCGAACCTCGGGTGTCTCGGAATGGTGATGGAGTCTTGGCTGCAATGGATCCTTCGGACAATCCCTTCAGCACCCGCAATGCAACGGTGATTCGGCTTCCCGCAAACTGCCCTACTGAGTTCAGATCCTGTGTTTCGGCCATCCCGCTTTGTACAGAATAAAGTCGCACGGACCGTAGGTCTCGTGACGACTGTTCGAACAGCGAAAATAGTTGTACGAACCGTAGGTCTCGTAACAACCAAAAGGAAATTTCTTGTGAAGGGGTGTTCCAAAATGATTGGGTGTTCAGAGCCCTTTGGCTTTGACGTTGCTTTGGACTTCATGTCATTGACCACGAAAGTAAAGGCGGCAACAGCAACAGGATGACTGGCTATCTCAAGCTTTCCTATCACTAAACATGCCCCGATGGGAAATGACATTGAAACGGCAGCGATTGGGAACCTCTCCCTATCTGAGTCACAGCGCTGGGCGCTGGGGGCCTCAAAAGGTCTGGCAATACAAGCAACTTTGTGACGGCATGTTGCAACTAAGTTGGTTGCATGCACGCTGCCACTGAGATTTGCCTTATACATGAATGAGAAGCAATGCTTAACATTGCAACCAGCCACCTCGTCACTTGAGCCAACCTATTTTATTCCGGGTCCATAGCCCCATGCTCACAATATCCAAATTTTAGAGATCCTACCGCTAAGCTTTCAAATCTCTAACTACCCATAAAGTACATGTGGTATGTCTGTCTCTACAGGTCTGTTTACCTAAACAATATTATATACATATAACATACATATTGTTGTCATTGCATACGTTGGGGAAATTGTATATGAAACATATACGTAATATGTATTTATATATATATATATATTTATTTATTTATATTTATTTATTAGACTAAGAGCGTCTCACTAACGGGCACGTCTTGCTTTTTGGCAGCCCCACCTACAAGTCCTTTGCAACCCGCTGCACCATGTGATCACTTAAAATTTGGGGTTGCATACGGATCTGAAAGAATATATGATGTGTCAATAGCCGTGGCATCTGACATACCATGAAATATCAAGTCAGATACACATTGCGGTCAGTCACGGGACAAGAAAAGTGAGTTGCTGGCAGCTGGTAGCTAGATATGACATACCTAGGGGTGTGAAGAACCCTTGGCAAGAAAACTTTCGTGCCAACAAAAATGGCCAACGCCTCTTTATTGGTTTCAACATCAAGGCACTGGCCTGTCCCAAAAGGCAACAAGCACAAACTTTTTATCCCCCATCATACGGTCGTCAGCGGCGCAGGGCATCCACCTGCTTGCTATTGCTACTGCTGGGTTGGCCCTGAGCGCTGCGGCCAGTAGTAGCGGTCAAGGTCCTGTATGGTCAGCTGCTCGCAACGGCAATCTTTACTAATGCACTCAGACGCATGGCGGTCCCTCCTCGCCAAACGGGAGGCTTGAAAAAAGCAGCGTGGAGACCAAGGAAAACAACACAAAGGTTTGGGAAAACACTCCAACATGTATTGCATCTGTGACTTGTCTCCTCTCAAGGTATTGGCTCACAAAGCCCAGCCAGCATGACAGGCAAATTCTCTCATATTTGATCATCTCAAGGTATTCAACCCATGGCTGGAGCTTAGACATGGTTTCTGTGCTGCGACCGCCCCAACAAGCTTGCTAAACGAAAACGAGCCTAAATGCTTGCCTAAATTCCAATTGTAGGGGACAGGCTTCCCATCTCAGGCTCAACATTGAAGCTGGGCACAAACGACGACACTCACTATCGAACCAGTCAGTCCTGTAGCATGCAACCAAATAACAATCGAATCCTTTAGGTTTCCTTTTCAGATGCCTTCCAGTTGCACTTCCGAAGAAACTGCTCACGGCCAAAGTGGCCAGAGTCTGGCTAATCACGGGCCGGCCACGAAAAAGACCTGTGGGTTCACATGCAGGCTGCACTGCGCTTCAAATCTTTACAAAGGTTTTGAACGGTTTGGAGGCACCAATTGTCAATCATTGCCAAGCAGATCCGGCCTCCAAAAGGCCAACTATACTAAGACTGCATCAAAACAGTACCTGGAGCGGAGACATGCTTGGCACAATGACAAGCAAAGAAATAATCGCGTAATGAGATGTTTGGAACACGCACAGCGAGCTACTTTGCTATGCAGAGAACGATTGTTTCTTTTTCTCGCCAGCAAGCCAACCCGCGTCAGTCATCATGTGTGGGTCACAGCGGCTATGTCAGCAGCACATCATTCGACATCTTCAACTTCGCCATCCTGAGCCATCGGCTCCTCCTCTTCGCCTTCGTGACCGTCGTCCACCTTGGGGCCAACAGCGTCGGAATCAGCAGGAACTGCTGGCTCAGCCGGTGCGGCTGACGCTTCAGAAGCATCACCTTCTCCGGCCGCATTCTTCTCCAAAACTCCAGCTTCACGCTTCTGCCAAAGTGCCTTCTTCATCTCTTCCTTATTGACCCATGTTGCAAACAAAAAGCCAAACTCTAGAAGCTGCCTGCTCGTTCATGCTATATGCACATCAAGTAGCACACATCGTTTTCACCATGGCCACGGAAGTCCCCTTGTGCTCCAGCTCGTCGTATGCAATATCCTGAAATGGTATCATCAAAGTATCATGTCGAATGGTTTTAAAGTTGCACTGAGAAATTTTCAGGTGACCACTGCTGACAGCAAAAAGTGCTACCAAGCAACGATAATTTCCTTCAGCTTGTCTGTTGGCAAGCACTTTGAACCCACCTGGACAGAAGAATTCAAAAAGGCATTCAAACCCGCTCCAGACTTCAAAGCAAGCATGAGCAAGGAATGCCTGGGTGCAACCATGGTGCACTGACCATCTCTTTTCCGGCCCGCTTGATGCCCCAACGGTTGGAGGTCTTGTAGTAGTTGGGCTTACAAAACTTGGCAGCCGAAGCCTTCGCAGCCTGGACCTTGGCTTTGGGCTTTGCCTTAGCCCCGGACTTGGCCTTAGCCTTGGCCACGGCTTTTGGCGTCGGAGGCAACTCAGCGCGATCTTTCCCAGCCTTTGCTGAAGCTGGCCGTTTCAACGCTGGCTCGTCAGCCTCGGAATCAACTGTCTCAACTGTCTCCAAATTCTCCAGGGCCAGATCGGACTCGCCGGCCGCTGCTCCACCACCTGATCAAGCAGGCAGCCTTGTAGGCAGAAGCAAAATCGAAGCAAGCTAGAAACGGTGGACAAATATATTCTGTGAAAGAACCTGCCGCGTCAGCAAGGGCTGCAGCTGGGCGCTTCAGCGCCGATTTGCGTTTCGGGGCAGGCTCAGTCTTTGGCGCAGGTTGATCCTGCAGAAAAAAGTTAAACAGACATAGAGAGAGCAATACCTTACTTGATGGCAGCCGGCATGCAATGTCACATCCCCACATGTCCTCTACGGAGCTAGGAGTCAGGTCGCCCTCCTTCACCACAGTTTGAAGCGGCATCTCTTTCAGATTCAGTTCCCTAGCGGTTGGCACAGACCTATTGATTGACTTCGCTCCTGACAGAAAATCCTGCAGAGCCGGACCATTCTTTGCAAAAGACATAACACCACGTCCTAAATCGGTCATGGCAATGCAACAAAAAAAATATTTGCATGCAATTGGACACGGATTTTTTGCGATCGGTTTTTGAACTGCCGGCTTCCAAAATCAAGCTCGTGTGACATCCTTGGACTCCGCTGCGCATCTGCGAAAGCAAGACAGCTACTAAAGAGGGATGTGAACCCACATGACATGAACTGTGAATCAGCCGTCAGCGGGGTCTTTCAGCCAAGGGAAAGAGCACTGTCAGTCAGCAGCTGACAAATCAACACAGGACGCTGCCGGAACTGTCAAGCTGGCCAGCAAATACACTTTCGGCTTGACAGGGAGAATTTTCGGTGGGCTGCTCGTCACTTGAACCTACAAGCAAAGAGGACTGAACTTGCACAACAAAAAATCATCCGAAGCATCAAGACATCAGCATTGAAATTGGGAAGCAAGCTCCCTGCCTCCCACGTCAAAGAACAGACGCCATTCCTTGGAACCTTGTGATAGTTGCTGGAGAACAGTCCGCCAAAGAAGGCTTTCTTCAGATCAGGATTTTCTGACACAGCATTGGGCTTGTAGACACATGTTTTCATGGAAGTTGTCGAAGCAACATCCCACCTGCCCAGCGGCTTCAAACAATGGTAGCGGAGCAAAATTAAAAGCTTATCATGGACTATCAGATGCTTCAGAACGATGGTAGCGGAGCAAAGAAAATGGCTATCGAATTTTGAATCGGGTGTGACCGGACCAGCTAACCAGCCTGAAGTTGACAGGCGCAGCTTCACCATTTGCCTGAAACTGCTGTGGTCATTGCTAAAGCTGATCGCTGAGCAATGCATCGGGAAAACAAATCTCAAGCCGGCTATTTGACGAGAAACCGGCTCTGGGTGCATCTTGCTTGTCACCACATGGAACTCGACCTATAGGTCGGCAAGACCTTGCTCCACAGCACATTTCCGCATCACCTCACACAAAGCCAGCGGGGTCTTCTCCAGGGAGACAATCTCTCGGTCGGAAGTCAATCTCCAAGGCAATCCAGTGGTTTCGTCAGAATTGCCTCATGCCCGCATCAATGCAGAATTCTTTGGAACAGTGCCAGAACGACTTTCTTGAGCTGCAACCGCAACCTGTGGACAACAATAACAATGTAATGTGGAAAGCCAAGGCACCAAGAACGACCTGGTTGATGTACTGCCCAGTGCCAAAGCCAAACAACTCGCCAGCAACCACCTGCATCGGTTCGCTGGTCGGGTTGAGCAGCCACACGTGGTAGTCCTTTGTCAATACGAGGCTGGGCTTCCCAGCTCCGGCCCTTCCAGCAACAGCACCCAACCTGCAGGCAGTTAAAGCCCCTGAGGCTGACTGAAAAAAGTGAACAGGCCTCCTATCAGAACAACTCCCACGTAAGAAACATGACTCATTTTGGGAGTGGGCCCGTTGGCCTCTCTCCTGTCAACTCAGAAATGGGCTTGGAGACGAGACTTGCCACCCGGGTGCAATCCAGTGGCCGAAGACCTTCATCAATGGTGTAGTCGCACAGTGCAGCCGTGCGGTTGTCCCTGCCCGGGGCTGCACCACTGCCCTGTCCAAACTCATCCTCAAAGTCTTTCTGCAATGCAACGATCTCTGCTTGCTCAAAGCTGCCCTCACTGAACCTGCCCTGCAAAACCGACAATGGAAACACTGGCTTGCCACGAACGAGTGGGATCAAGCGCAACCCCAATGCCTCTGCTGTGGGTTCAGCTGTGGTTGTAGGCGGCCTCTCCTTTGGCGGTGCAATCTCCAAGTTGTTGTCCTGGCATCCAAAGCAATGGAAGCCACCCACATAGACCACAAAACTAAATCGAAGGGATCAATACTATTAAAATTCAACTTGTATAGAAAAATACTTTACTTTGTGTGATCCCCACCATGACATTTATACATTTTGTTGCTGGCAAATCATCTGGCATTCTATCTCACATATCTTCTGGCATTCTATCTGGCATATCTTCTGGCATTCTATCTGGCATATCTTCTGGCATATTATCTACTCAAATCTTCTTGGCATTCTATCTGGCAAACATTCTGGCACTTTATCTGGCATATCTTCTGGCATTCTATCTGACATTTTATTTGGCATTCTATCTGGCATACCTTCTGGCATTCAATCTGGCATAATATCTTCTAACATTCTATCTGACATATCTCCTGGCACTCTATCTGGCATATCTTATGGCATTTTATCTGGCATATCTTCTCGCATTCTATCTGACATTCTATCTGGTATATCTTCTGGCATTCTATCTGGCTTTTGAGGTCCAGCGGTGCGCACTGAGCTCGGAAGGCCCCAGGTTGAGGTCCAGCGGTGCGCACTGAGCTCGGCAGGTCCCAGGTTGAGGTCCAGCGGTGCGCACTGAGCTGGGAAGGTCCCAGGTTGAGGTCCAGCGGTGCGCACTGAGCTGGGAAGATCCCAGGTTGAGGTCCAGCGGTGCGCACTGAGCTAGGAAGGTCCCAGGTTGAGGTCCAGCAGTGCGCACTGAGCTGAGAAGGTCCCAGGTGTTGAGGTCCAGCAGTGCGCACTGAGCTCGGAAGTTGGCGAAGAGCTTGGCGAAGAGTTGGCAAGGCGGAAGTGGAGGTGGAAGTTGATGCAGACATGGTCGAGGAGAAACTGGAGGAGGAGGAGGACAACAGCTCTGATAAAATCTAACAACCCTCGCCTGGCAGGTGGGGAAAAAGATTGAACAAATTTGCACAAGTTTCCCAGCTGTCGTAGACTTGGGATTCCAACGCTGTGCGGATATCCGGCAACTTCTCTTCCCGAATCAAGCCCACATACTGTATCTTTTGACCAGTTGCTGCAGGGTCCAGCAAGGTCTTCAAAGCTGCACGTGCAAATTCAGCACACCTGGCTTGTTCTAAGAAATTTTGGGTATATACATTCCGAAAGTGGACGGAGGTGAGAAAACAACTGGAATGTGTTGGTTTTAACTTCAACATGTTCTGAAGCAGGCCTGTTGGGAATGATGTCGAGCCAAACAACCTTGTCGTTGTCCTTGACATCCATGCCTGAAAGCATTGATGCCATCAAAGCCTGAGCGCAAGGCACCCCTCTCCTCAGGTTGCAGGTTGGGCCACTCTGGACGAATGATAGGTCCCAAAACATGCTAGACCCTGTTTCCCTCTTGCTGCTACAGCTTTTTTGCAAATTAAAAAAGAGTAAGGACAATAAGTTTGAGGAGGTGAGTTTCTGCTCCACTCGTGCACCCGCAGAAGGCCTCGTGGCTTCATCATACCCAAGCATGTCAGCAACCTTGATCAATGGGAAAGGCCCCACACGGCCAGCACTGACTGCATCACTCTCAGACCAAGGAGTCTCGGAGTAGGTGTTGTTTGTCGTGAGGACGCACACATGGGAGAGGGGCCTGCCATCCCTGGGACCAGCATCCGGCTTGGCATAGAACACTGTGGTCTCCTGTCCATAGGACATGCTGCCCTTGACGAGAAAATCTTCAATCATACGTCGGTGCTTGATCCTCGCCACCTCAGTGGTCTGCTTCTGCAGAACTGGCTGCATGATGAAACCGCAATGGCAGGGGCTCATAGCTGTCACCGAAGATAGAACTGCGAATGCAGCCTTCACATATGATGCACTGGGAGGGTACAAAGTCATGTCCATCGCCGCAATGCAAAACCTGCAGCTTGACCAGTTGACAACAAAACATGATATAGCACGGCACGACATGGCATTTACTGGATCAACAAATCGAATGAACCATTGTCGTCCCGTTTCGGAACCGGACATAAAATGTGGTATGTCTTGTTGATTTATCAAAGGCACACTCTGCCAGGAACTCCACGCCATTTCTCCAGAAACGACAAGAAAGTAGCCAACCCAGATGACAAATCATCTGCCACAGGCACCAAAAGCACATTTCTGCCATGAAATCTTCGGCGTATCTGCGCCCCTTCCTTTTGGAGAAGAAGGTATAAGCAAAATGAACTTCACTGTCATTACTCCACAGCTAGTGGATGAGGCTCAGGAGGCAAACTTTTTAAAGGGTGCTGTCCTTAACTTTGGGGTGAAAGATTGCTCAAATCGTGCGCGAGGGTCTGTTGCCGCTCTCTGAGATACTTCATGTCGAGAGCATGCTCAGCAGCCGCTTCTGCCTTCCCGGGCAACTTTGCGCGCAGGGTGTCAACATCTGCAGCGAGCATCTCTTTGACCTGGGCCATGTTCGCTGCGGCAACCTGCTTGGCAAGCTGCTGCGCCCTCTGCTCACGCTCGTCAATGATTCCTTGCTCAATCCTCAAGACGTGCATCCTGAACAGCAGGGTCAGAGATCAAAAAAAACAAAATATAATAAGTGAAACGACCTCAGGCTTTTGGGGGTCACTGAATGTTCCCCGTGCTGTCATCAGTTTGTATCTTGGCTTGCTAGCAGGGACTTGGGGTTCCGTTTCTCCCTTTGGTAGAAAATACATAATAATACAAATGTACCTGGCACAAAGTTATTTTGCAAGTGGAAAAAAAATGGAGGTCCAGGATTCAAACTGCGCGTCAAAAGAATGCTGTAAGAAATAAAGAAGATATGTCATGTCTCCTGTGGATTTGGCCACTGCAAGCCTGAATGCCGACACAGCCTTAATGTCTGCATTTGCCGGGACCTGGGACTCGACAATGTGCAAAAGGTCGGGATCAAGAAGGCCTGCTTTAAACTGAATGAAGAGGTCAGTCCTGATGGCTTCGAACTGGTTCTCCGGCGCAATCTGCTGGATTTTGGCCAAGAAAAACAGGTATGCCCCACAAGCCTGGTGCACCTTCACGGCGTCCTTGAAGCTCACTGGTTTTCTCAGTTGCTGTGGATGGCTGTCATGGTCTATCACCAGCCTCTGCAAGTACAAGTTCACCTGGCCGACAGATGAATGTCCTTTTTACTCAAAACCGGGGGCAACCTATTTCTCCATATCCAAGCCCTTCGGTTGGAAAACAAAAGCAAATTGCGTTTCAACCCAAGTTGCCAAAGTAGAATCCTGCACCAAGTTTGTGCAAGGCTCGGCCCAACTTTCAGCCAGACCAAATCCACTGGTCCAACCGGTGGAGAAAGTTCCCTTCCCGATCACATCGTGATTGAGAAATTTTGCCATCCCCCGGGTGGTGACCAACTTTTCCAACTCGGCACAGACGCTCTGAGACACATCGTTGGAGAGTGCGAACAAAGCATCGCTCTCAGCCTTGCCGATGTTGAATGCTTTGGCCATTCCAGCTGCCTTGCTCCAGTCCTCCCATCGAAGCCAAGTAGAAAAACACAGACCTGCTTACCGCGTGACATGCCCAATACACTGCACAAGGCTTCACCAAACCAACTTTCAGTCCTGCATCTGGGATTCAGTAGACATCATCCCTCCTTTTCGGAGAACCTTCACTTGACGGAGCAGGTTGAAGCAATGAGGTGCTCTGCGGGTTGCGCTGGCACTCATCTGAGCACCTGCAGGTGATTGGCAAATGGGTGCCAATATCAATTTCACTGATAGTAAAAAAGTAAAAAGTACAAGAGCTGATCCCTGAACATCGGAGATCTAATTTTGAACCTGAAGCCATATGTTATGTACATCATTCAGAAACATCTGACCTCTGTTCGCGAAAACCTTGCTTCGGAGGTCATGGAACTGGCCGAAGGTGACATGCAGAGTGCCCATGGTAGCCTGAGAGGGGAGGTGGCAAGAGGGATAACACGACGAAAGACATGCATGGGAAGAAAAGCAAGCCTAGCAACCCGGATCCAATGAGGGACGACATCTTGAAGCTGTAGAAACCGCATGCCTTCAAGTGTGATGAGCAGGACCAAGCATCGCTTGTATCCTTTGATGTAGGCAACGGAAAACGGCCTGACCAAATGACCTTGGCTTGCACTGCTTGCTTATCGGTAGCTCTGCCAAAATCAAAGCTCACAGCGAAACTAGGCTCAAAAAGTCAGGCCAAAAGACTATATGGTTCCAATGCTCTGCGCTCAATGTAGGGCTTCACCAAGTATGCATCCGGCACATCAGTGGCAGCAATCTTCTGGACCCCAACAGTATTGGGATCGCTCAAAAACCTTAGGCCCGCGATTTGGATGGTAGAATTGGCACAAAGAAAACAACACGGGGGTTGAGCCTAGCAGCCCCTCTGTGCAGTAAAGCTCAATGAGGTTATGGGCCACATCCGGCTCTACCATGGCACTCAGAGAGAAATCAGCACGCCAGCCACACTGCCATGGCCTCATCACTCCTGAACTGGTCTTGTCGGTGCAATAGGAAAGCCTGCAGCCACAGACTGGTACAAAAACACAAGAAATACATTCTGGCTGGCTTCATTCCCTTCTGTCTGACTTCAAAACTGCCCTGGTTTAGGCTGTCAATGTTAAGCCGCCGGCGATCCATTTGCAGGGCAAAAGTCATCAATCCATCGAGCAAAGTCCAGAAGCCCTGCCTCCAATCTTGGAATCTTTGTGCATAAACGAGGACGAAAAACCGGTTTTCTGAAAAGGACAGTGAGAATCACAGCACGGTTACTTGCCTCGTCCTTGTACTTGTTGGACAGGTAGGCATCTGGTCCTCCTTGCGAAAGAACGTCGGTCTCATACCTCACAGGTTCCCACCCAGAAACTCAAACCACCTTGAAGAAAGAAAAGGTCATGGCCCAGTCTTGTCTCTTTCCAAGAAAAAACGCATTGGCATGCACCGTTGATATTTAGGGCTACGGTCAATATTTGGTATATAGCTCCAAGGCATCCATTTTTGAAGAGTGTATTATCGTTTTTAAGTTTTGGTATATAAGCAAATGTTATCGTATTTTGAAGAGCATATTATCGTTTTCCAAGCCCCAGCTCAATTTCCAAAAAATAAAAATGTCTCGGCTACTACTCTCCATTAACAAAACATTTGGCTGCATGATAGTTGAAGCAAGGTGCCAAGCAGTCAGCTTGTGAATCCATTCCGTCCTGTCCCCTTCAGTCGCTGGAAGATCTGATGGCTTGGCAGCCTTTGCCTTTCCCTCACCGAGATTCTGGGATGATTTCCTCTTTTTAGGAGCCATGCCGATGACCGGTTCCAATCACAAATCGACGCCGCTGCAGCTTGAGAACGCCAGCGGCAAGTAGCACAGACAGTATTTTGACATCCAAGATTCCCAAGATCATCCAAGATAACACTGGCATGCTACTGGCATGATATGGAGAAGGTGAAGATTCTCATGCTAACCGGTTCACCTAGTCCAGACCTAGAAACAATCAGTCACCGCAAGCTTCAAAGATAAAACAAGCTGAATTCCGACTTCCGGCACAGAAGAACCGACACTCCAAAGTTGGACTCCAAAGTCGTCCTTTTGAAATCCGTCACTTCGGAATCCGACACTGGCAATCCGACACTTCCAAATCCGACGCTTCCAAATCCGACACTTGAAAATCCGACACTTGCAAATCCGACACTGGCAAATCCGACACTCATAGTATGGAAATTTGGAATTCCAAATTCAAATCACAACCAGACATGTGTTTCAAAGGCAGCGGTTGCACAAGATGCTCAATTTTTCCACCATGCCGGGGTGACCAATCTGAGGTCAGATCCGTCACATGGAGATCCGTCACACGCAAATCCGTCACTTCCAAATCCGACACTCCAAAATGCATTGCTTGAGATGCCACAGCGCTGCAAGTGACAATAAACAAGTTCAAAGACAAATGGTTTATCCCAGGCCAACTGTTTCAAGAGGCCCTTGGGTGACCAATCCCAGGTCACATCGGTCACCCGGGCAATGATTCTGCTATTTTTCCACTACCTTACAAAAATTGTGACTTTTACAAAACTGCCACAAGAACCATAGGGGTGACCAATGTGAGGTCAGATCCGTCGCCAGGATCAACTTTGTTTGAATCCTTCAAAGGTATCTGATTTGCATTGGTAAGTTCCAACTCATATCTCAACAGAAGGGGAGGCCCCTAAACCGCATTGCCGCACCTAAATTTCTAAACCGCCGCTACGTTTAGGGTTTAGGGATTCGCTTTTTTTGTTTTGAACAGCTAAAACTTAGATATTTGACTTGGGAAGAGACATGTAGACAACTATGCTCGCCCACGACCTTTGCCCTTGCCCTTTGGCAGAGGGCGGGCCCGAGCTTTTCCTTTACCTTTCCCTTTTTGGGTTGGTGGGTAAGCCCTGTCTATCGCATGACCGGCCAAAGCCAGTGCTTCTGGCCATGGAACTCCTTCGGCCCAGACTTTTGCTGCAGCCTGCAATGTGCATTGCTCACGGTATTGCCGTGAGAGTTGTCGATGATTCCCTGGCAGCTGCAGCCTCGGAGCAAGGTGGAATCATATGATATCGGCAATAATATCGCAACATAAATTAAAGCAGATTGTGACAGACATAAGTAAGGCAAAAAGCGCAAGCCGATTCGGCAGCACTTCGAAGGAGGAGGTCCTGCAAAAGACTTCGGCAACTCAATGTCCACAGAAACCATGGCAGCATTGAACCATGATAGCAAGAATCATCTATCCTTGAGAACAAATCTGATGGCACTCGGGGTTCTTGCCGGCTCCGCCGTAGTCTGGTCCTGAGATCCCAACACTGCTGCTGCCGCTGCTGGCGTTGTGATCTTGCCAAAAGAGCACACAAATCACACATATACTTTATTGGTGTAACATATTATATGAAGGCAAAAAACTCGCTCAGATCCAGCAAGGGCATTCTGACCAATGAGCCGTTGCACCAGCTCTCCAAATAGTCTGCAGCCCGCATTAAGCCAAACTCTGGCTGCCGCAAAATTGGCAGATATCTCATCAAGTTGTCGATGGTTGCTGCGGGAATCTCATTCAGCGGAGCCACAACTGGCAAGAACCACAGGGAACAAGAGAGAAACATCAGAAAACGCGGTATGAATGCAGGGAACAAGAAAGCTTTGAAAGAGAGACATCAGAAAACACAGAATGAAACCACTGGCCTGCAGGCAGTCCTACAGGCAATCGCTCCAGGGCCCAGAGGCGGGGGAGGAACAAGAAGCTGTGACTGAATGTGGCTTCATGCATCCACTGGCAAGTCCTCGCAGATCCAGCACATTTCAATTTTGGCACGCAAAACTTCAAATGCTGGGTGACCGACCTCAAAATGACATCGTGCGGATGCTTCGCGCAATGCTTCCAAAAGCCGCATTGTTCTTCTTCGGCAAGGTCTGTCGTTCAAAGTGTGGCAAGGCTAAGGGTGACATGCACATTAAATATGAAAGTGTTCTGATTGATTGAAATGCATGAAGCACACCTGCATCCACTCTTCGGCAAAAATACATCACATGTGGAGCGCCGGGCCCTCCAATGCCCTTGAGAGCCACTGGCATGGATTCAGCCAGCCAGCCACGCCTGATGAGCAAAGGGCAACTGCATTTTGCCCGATTACGGCTCCACTCAAAAGCAGCGATCTTCATGAGATAACGTTTGATTCAATCGACACCATTTTGAAAACACTTTCTGTAGACAAAACTAGCAAGATCGCTCAAATGTGCCAAGTCGAGGCACCAGTCTCTGGTGCGATCAAGCTTCACAACAAAGCGCTTCGGCTCATATGGCCGATCAAGCTGCTGGCAAAACTCTTTCAGGCATTGGACAAAATCGTCAGAGGTCTGGGCAGAGCGAAGTTTCGATTTGATCCAACCTGCCACCCGTCCAAATAGCTGATCCACATCTTCATGAGAGTGACCGCTTCGGAGAAATGATAATTTCCCCGAAGCGATCACTCCATCAGATACTAGGCTTGAGAGGTACCGCATGCAATGCCCGTTCTTCACTTCTCGTGATGTATTGTCGGCCTGCAGGGTTACCCTGCAGGCCGACAAATCAACTCCAGCAACGGCCAATTGTTGCAAAGAGTGGGCAAGGATCTCACAGCTGGTGTTCGAGTCCTTGGCTAGGTCAGCTTCCGACAGATAAAAGGCCACATGTCGGCCGTGAGCTATCACTGCAGCAACGTGAAGTCGTGGTCTCATCATGGATTCGAACGCTTTCGCGCGCAAAAGGGAGCCACGTGGCACCATGAACTTCGACTGGTCCATCCCGTCCTGAATGAACAGGATTTCAAGACCTCTGGCTCGTGCTAAACCTCTCATCCTCCAGTAGCATGCCCTGTCACGAAATTGGCTTTGCAGGTGCATGTATAGCATCTCTTGCTGAATGCGGCGGGCTTTAAGGTGGTGCGCTAAGCCAGCAATCAGGGCTTTGTGCTTCACACATTCATTGCACTGAGCGTGGGAGCTTGTACTGCGGAACTTCATGAAACTGAAGTGCGACGACCACACCTCAGCATTCAATGTCCCTGTCTCGGTCACAAGGCACATGGAAAAAGGCAAGTCCAATCGTCATTTGGCCACATCTTCCAAAGCACCCGTCCTAAAACGAAAACCGCTCATAAAAGTTAATTCATTGAAAGGAACCCTCCAGAAGGTCGGAAAAGATGCCTGCTGCTCAGACTGGCTCTGGTGCCTGTACTGGATCCAATATTCTTTCATGGTCCCAGCTGGAAGATAGCGTTCTTCCATGCCATCTGCAACACTTCGCCCAAGACAAACTTTCACGGCACGTTGGTGCTTCTTGACCTTTGCCTGTCTCTCGACAATCGGGACCTTTCCCGGCTCCAAGCCAATGCTCATGCCATGAGGATCTTCTGGTGGCCCCTCGTCCCAAGTATCATCGCGGACATCAGGCAAATTCTCCGCAACGGAGCTATATATAGTTTCAAGAAACGATATCACCTCCGAGACACACTCGCGGGTGTGGTCTGCCCCAGACTCTGCCCGCTTCAAGTACCGGAGATCGACAGGCGGCTTGGCATCCCCATTCTGCACTGCTTCAGAAAGCTTCTTAAATCTACGAGTTCCTGATAAGGTTTCAGGGAGGAAAGCCCAACACCGAATGTGAATTCCTTAATGATGCAAAATACAACAACTAAACAACCAAAGCTGCCAAGCAAGGACAAAGCAGCCCAAACCATGCAACGATTTCCAGCATCGGAGACAAACAGGCTTGGACAGAAACTTCCACTGTGTCCGTTGGCCGGCCTCTTGGTCCACCGGTTGCAAGATTGACTTGATCCGGTCAAAAGCCTTGGCAACTTCGGCTCAAAGAGGGCAGCATTCATGCGAAGCCAGCATCAAAGTTTCAGCTTCCCACAGGAAAATGAAATTGACATACTATGCACAGACTCAGAAACAACTTCATCCTGGTCCGTCTTGTGAAGTTGACACCATTCTCTTCTAAACTGCAATACTTGCTGCTGCGCCCCCTTCCCTCGAAACTGCTCCTTGCAGTTCTGCTTGCACTTCGATGCCTTGCACAACATCCTTTGGACAGAAACGACATCATCCACAGCCAGTTTCTTCACTCGTGGCTCAGCTTGGGAACGTTTCCGTCTTGCAGGACGGGCCAGGGTAGGTTCATCCGAAGAACTCTCAGTCACAGCTTCAACTGCAGCAATGTGGATTTCATCGTCCATAGGGCGGCAGGATTGTAAAGCAAACAAGAAAACAAAACATAAAAAAGATCTTTGGACTGCACGACGCTGCTAAAAGGTCGAACCTCAAAACTACTTGCCTAGCCTCCTTTGTTTGAAGACTTGAATGTCACAGCTTACCCCTGTCCCTCTGTGTCCAACACTGTGCCCTGGGCAGAAACTGATGCTTCAAGATGCTTGAAGTAAGCAAAGTGGCATTGCATAAAGTAGCCAGTGAAACAACTATGGCTGCAACAATTCAGAAAGATTCGTGTGAATTTGGCCCGCAAGTGAAATGCACAAAGCACTCATTGAACCAACGTTTGTCACAGTTTTCCCAACCACGCATGCCATGTGAGATGCCATCACCGCGCTGCTATCCAGCACGGGCTTGGGACTTCACATCATGAAGCATTTGAATTGAAGCAGCTGTCGCTGCCAGAATAAATCTGCAAATTACCGGGGCACTAAGGCTCCAGGACACCAAATGAAATTGTTTTGACAGAACAAAAGCTCTGTAAAGTCTCCTTTGGTGACAAAACGGCATTATCTAGGTTTCCTGCCTTGCCACATGCAACAAAATGTTGCTTGCTAACTGCGCACACTGAGGCACAACAACATTGCCAAGAATCTTGAACCGTTGCAAATCTTCCTCACTTGGCTTCTCACAAGTGAGCCACTGGTGCATGGGCACTGAGTTCAACGGGTTGAACGGTTCCTGAAAGATGGCGTTGATGGGCTGCAGGGTGAGGTCCTGCAATCAGGCTGCAGGAATGAAAGCTGGTAGACTCTTAAAAAGACATTTGCACATCAGAGCTGTCAACAAAAACATTGCTCCTCGAACATGGTCAATCCTTCAGCCACGGCAAAGAAGAAGGTTCTCTTTCTCTGCGCCTATGCCAAAAAACACTTGCATGCTCAGACTCGGCAATCAAGAACCTAATGAACTGCCACCAACATGATTTGAGCTTAGCGACTGCCAAGCCAACGTTCTCAAGGGCCACGCTGCACCAGCTAAGGGTCAGCAGGCGGGAGCTGCACTCCTCCCCACAAACTAAAAACAGAAGAGTTGGGAAAGCCATTGCATCACATCATGAGGAGCCTGGATCAGGAATCGCATGAGCTTCATCATGTCCTTCTGCTTGGACAAGATGCTCTTCACGTTTTCCAAGTAGATAAACTGCCTGGACGGGATGGCGAAAATCAAGCACAGTACAACAGGCTTGGCACATTTGACTGTCTGCCCGGCCTTTGTGGCTCTGGGAGTTGATCGAAAATTTTGAACACCTGCTTGAGCAAAGCACTTCTCGGGTCCTGAAGCCCTTGTTGGTGTCCACCACAAGAGATTCCCTGACGGGCGAACATGCAGCAAGTAGAAATACAACAGGAACCGCCACCATATCAAAAAAGCAAAGCAGCGGCTATGGCCCGCCTGGCATGGGAACTCCCCCCCGGCTCCAAAAGCTTTTGTTCCTCGGGGAACCTGGTAAGTTGTCACATCATCGTGAATGCTTCCTTCATGCAGGAAGCCCTCTTGCATCCTCTTTTGCAACACTGCGCGCGCATAAGGGTTGATCTCCACCTGAGACCGGCCAAGAGACATGGCAAAGCAAATTCCCTGCGGGAAAAGGGAGAACATACTGTGATCCAGCATCATTTGATCTTAAGTTTGGCACATAGCTTGTAGCCCAAATATACCTCAGCGGCCATGGTGGCTAATGGTCCAGAACTGTGTTGAAAAAGGAGGTGGCTGGTTTCAAGGGTCACTGCAGAGCACTGAAGCAAAGAAACTATGCTTTTTGAAATACCTTTTCGTACACATGTTTTGTCCCGCAGCAAACCGCAGTGAAACAAGTTCGGCCCTTTGGTCAGGTCATTGGACAAGCACTCCGTGGCAGCAAGTCCTCACAGAATGTCCCAGCAGAAGACTGGGATGATTCAATCCGTGCTGTATCATTCTGGACTTGCTGGCAAGACATGGTTTTGATACACAAATCGCTGTAAAAATGCACCAAGAAAATTCAATGCCTCCCAAAAAATCAACACCTGTCCTCTCACAGCGGATCAGTAGTCATCCACTTCAGAACCAAAACCTCGGTTTCAAGATCCAAGCTCTGGCCAAGCCTATCTACAGTAAACGAGTTGGCCGGGGTCAAAACGCAGTGGCTTAAACCCTCACAAATGAAAGTCTGGGGAAAGCTTTGGGCTCTGGCTGTGAAGCTCCAACCACTCTCGGCAATGCCAGCACCAGAACCACCTCTGGAAGCAAGTTTTTTTAAGTTTAAAGCAATACATCTTGACAAGCTTGAAAAAAGGAAGAAGGTTATAAGCTCCAAAGTTTAAAGCAATACATCTTGACAAGCTTTATCTACTTGACGCGCGCGCCAAAAAGGACTCCAAAATGAAGGCGGTTTGGCGCGCAGCCCAAGACTTCTTTCACCCGAAAGGAAATCTTGTTTAATGCTGTCTGGAATGAGCTGACAAGCCCCCATGCACTTGACTGCAAAAGAACTCTTTGAGACTTTGAGGCCCCAACTCTTTACCATGCCACTTTGTGGTGACATTGGCACCGACTTGGATCCTGAGTTGGTTCCAACGGAACAAGTGCATAGTATGCAACTCAAGGCTTGTAAAATGACATGCGCATTCGCAATGCATGCAAGATTCCGCACTTGGTTGACGCCAATAGTCTTTACCACCCCTAAAGGTCTGCCAGTGTGTCCCTCACCATCGCCCGGCATGGCTTGGTGCTGCAATGCCGAGCTTTCCACACAACGGCGGCGCTTGGAAGAGACATCCATGGGGCAAGGAAACCAACAAAAGATTTGTAAACACTGGTCACTGGTTGACATGATAATGCAAAATGTTCAACTCCTTTACTTTGACACCTGGAAGCCGAATTTGACACAACACACCGGTGGGTCACAAAGAAAATCAAACTGCTGCCATCAATCTGCTGCACACACTTCAGGTTTGAATGTCAAAAGAAAATCAAACTTCTTGAGGGTGGGGCCGGGAGAGCCCAAGCTCCAATGCACCGCAGCCACTGAACAAAGAGATACAACCCAGCTTTCCGTCCTGCTCAGTCATGCAGTCATTGCGTTACGCTAGAAGTTCCTGATGCAATCATAAAAAAACACTGTGGCGTAAAAGGTCCTTGGACAAAGCATGAGGGAACATTTTTTTGAAGTTGACCTTGCAAACCTTACTCTCCATGGACGTCCAATGGGCTGGCAGGCCCGAGAACCACTCTGCCGCGGGTAATGCCAGGTGAGTTCCTACTGTCACCTTTGCGTCGGCACAGGCACGCTTGTAGTCCTCTGAGTAGCGGATTTGGTTCGCTAAATCCTGAACAAATCACGGCTGCAAACTCTTGTTCAAGCTCAACGGCTCGGCAGGTCCGTTGGGCTTGATGTGAAAAAGTTGTTGAGGTTTATTGGGAGAATGGAACACTTGACATCTTGAACTTGTTGAATCTGAGATCTTGGCGCAAATACCCCTGTTGCTGGGATTCGGCGAAACGCGGACTGTTGCTGCGAAGCATCCTAAACATCCCGGCCAAAACAACGAAAAAATTAACACTTCAAGCAACAGACTGGTCAGATTTGACCTCAATTGGAAATGTGAAGTTGCAACTAGAAAACATTTGAGGTCACGACGTATCGTGCTCCAGCTGCCAAAACACTTCTGGCCATGAAAAAAGCCAGACTTGATATCCCTTCTCCGCTTGCCGCCAGTCTGGCACTTCGGCTTGTAAACCTAAAGCAATGCGAATATAAATGCAGCTGAATGTCAGGCAAACCATCATTTGAATGGAGCTGGCATGAAACATCGAATAAATGCAACTTCTAAGGTTATAACCACCTTGAGGCTCAATTTCTTCGCTCTTGGAAGGGGCACGCGGTACGGTGTCAGCTTGATACCGCTCTTGGAAGTACCCACAACAGCTGCACAACTAGGCAGCACCATTGACCCGGAAGATTTCCAACAGAAATCTGGCATGCGCTTCAGGTGCCCTTTGTGCACAGGCTTTGGCCTTCTCATCGACTCCTGCATGTGGACTGCATGGAAAGTGAAGTGCGTTGCACACATGACAGAATAGAAGGCCAAGCACAAAGGAGAAAAAACGAACCTCGTCCGATGGTGGCTCAGCTGCTGCAGACCTGATATCAATAGCTTGGCCCTTCTGGGCTGGGTGCAGCAGGAAACAAGTGCTGAAATTGGAAAACACTAACCGTCCTAACCGAGACCACGGCTCATTCTCACTCACTGAAACATCATCTACCGAGTCAAACAGCGGCATGGCTCCCAAGGCCAAGCTAGCTCTCGCACAAAGCTTTGGATCCAAACACTGTCGCATTGTCGCGCGAAAAAGTTTCAAAAACAAACGTACACATCCATGCACATAGTGAACATTAAAATTTCCAAACATTTGAAAACACCTGCAGCTAAAATGGGCACGGCAAGTTGAAGCTTTGAAGAGAAGTCCTGGAACACATTGCACGGCATAGGGCATCAAAATGATGGGAAATATCTGCTGTGGCTACTTCATAGCTAGATCAGAAACCACTATCTTTCCGCTGTCCTTGAATTGGAGTTGGCAGGGATTGCAGCAGAGAGCCCTGCCCGTCCAAACAGCACATTGCAAAAAAAAAACCTGTGGAAATCAACTGGTTGACATCAATGCGTGAGATCGTTGATTCTCGATGTGAATTGGCCCTCAAACTTTGCCATATGGCATGATGTTGGATAAAACATAAAAAAAAATTGAAACTTTGATGAGTATTTACCTATACAGTGCTCTGGGGATCAAACATCCTGGGCAAATCGATGCATCACTGTAGACAACAGCGCCTGAGGTGCAGTTACTCAGATGGAAGCATCAACCCCAAAAAACAAGTTGACAGAAAGAAGGAACCAAAACCACATTCATGCGTCCAAGCTCAACGGCTTGGCAGATCCATTGGGTTTGATTTCAATGAGTTGCTGACGTCTCAGGGAGA